CCAGATGTAATCTCAGCCCCACACAGTCGCTTCTTCACTCACTGGTGGGGTGGTGAGGAGAACTGGAAGAGTAAAAGTGACAAAATTCATGGGTTGAGACAAAGTTTAATAGGTAAAGCAAAAGCAGCACACATAACCAAAGTAAACCAAGGAATTCATTTACCCCTTCCCATGAGCAGGCAGGTGTTCAGCCATCCCAATGGAAGCATGGCTCCATCACACGTGATGCTTACTTGGGAAGACAAACACCATCACTCCAGGATTATTCTTCACCACCCTTCATTAATCTTCCCCCAGCTTTACACCCTAGCCATGATGCCCCATAGTATGGTATGGGGCCTGCTGGGATCAGCTGATCTGGCTCCCACCCCTCCCAGCCTCTTGTGAACCCCCGGCCTCCTTGCTGGTGGGGTGGGGTGACAGCCAGAAAAGGTCTTGGCTCTGTGCAAGCACTGCTCAACCACAATGGAAACTTCCCTAAATTATCAACAGTTTTCAACAGGAGAAATCAAAACCACCTACTGTGAAGCAAATTAACAGCACCCCAGTCAAAACTAGCACAGCATTAGATTTATATTTTTCCTAATAATGAGACAAATCATAAGCTAAAGGGGAGTTCCTAGAACATAAACCAGTAGCAGCAAAAATCTTGCTTAAAATATGTTCTCTAAACCTATGACTTCTAAAGTTTAAACCTCTCCTTGGTCTATAGACCTTTTGTGTGTGTGTGTCTGTGTGTTTATTACAGGTAATAAGCAAAACTTAAACCAAAAATTCATTATAATTTATTTCCCAGCATTCAAACTGTGACTTACAGAAGTGTAGGAGAGTATTGAAGATCCTACATTCTCAATGACGGGGAGGGGGGGGGTTCAGTTTTCATTAACACAAAGCAGAAAAATAATATTATAACATATCAATAGTTGTGAAAAACTAATGAAGACAATTGTAAATACAACTTATGCAATATTGTGTAATACTTCTTCAATAATTACTTATCAGAACTAAAGAGGCATCAGAAAAGTAAAAAAAAAGAATGAAGAGGAATCCTTTGACAAGTGGCATAAAGAAAACAAGAAATAAAAATGAAAAGATGAAAGCTAACCTACTTTAAAAATAGTTATGAAAGCTTGCTTTTCTTTATTTATTTTTTAAGAGTTGTTTAAACTGCTTATTTATAATTGAGCCTTTCAAATACACATGATTTGTTAGCGTAATAGGTACTTCAGCTTTGTCTCTCTTTCTGTCTTCAGATTGACTGCTATTTGAAGGCCTTATTTTATATGTCTGGGCTAATGCTATTGCACAAATTGCCACCTTTTCAAGGCCATGATTTCAACCTGCCTGAACAACTGCCACTTTAGCACCACAATAAAAAATACCTTTCATATAACAACTCTCTTCCTTTTAGGAAGAATAATGAAACAAAGCAAAATACAAAGGCACAACCATCCCTTTTCCCAGAGGAGTCATGCTTTGGGGACATCTCCTCCCCTCTCACTTTCCAGAGTTTGAGAGCTGCTGCACGGACAGGGCACTGCAGCACACAGCTGCTGCAGCACTGCTGCTCCCCTGAGCACACCCTGTGCTCCCCTGAGCTCTGCAGATAGCTGTCACCAAAGCCAACCTCGTTATCCTGTGGGCTTTTCCAACACCCACACCCACTCCCCACTTGCACTGGGGCTCCTTTTCTGCTTCCCCTGCCCAGCTTTCCAGGGTCCTATGGAGCTTCCTCCTCTTTTCTTTCCCCATCCCCTCACTGGAGGCAGGTGACACTTCCTTCAATAAAACAGTCCCTGTGTGAGAACAAGTGAAGGGATTGGATACTTCAGGTGACTCCCTGGAGTGCAGGGCTGCATGTCTACACTGTGGTACGTGCATATCCCAGATTTTATCCATATATTAGGCTAAAAGTTGTTTTCTTCAGTACTCTCAGATATCCAGATCATGTCTGCCTAGCTGTGAAGTTTTGAGTTTATGTTGTAATTATCCAGTCAGAGAACCAATTTTAACTTGGCAAAAGATCCTACATTTCAATACTTGTTGTTCATACAAAGGTCACTCTTAAAAAATATTCAACAAAATTTCAGTCATGAGTTTAATTAAATATTTTTGACTAATAGCCAGCTATGTTCAGCATGGATGTCCACTCTCACTGTCTTGACTCTGGTCTAATGGAGATGGTCAGCTTGTTCCTTGACAGAACAATTATTATTTCAACTACCAAGTTCCCTTTTGCTTTCCATTCAACTACATCCTATAAAATTAGTCTAATTCTTGGTAAAACTAAGCTAAAACAGAGAGAACTGTTTTGTGCACATGACAGCTCTTATTTAAATATTAAGCTAATACAAAGCTCTCATCATGCAGACAAGACCCAGAGAAAAGGGAAGTCTTGAATGGGATGCAGAATTTTATCCTCATCCAGATAGAGAGCTGTCCTTGCAACTGCTGACTTGGGGGGATCAGAGTAGGGAGACTTGGAGCTGTATTTTTATGCTGAGTTTGTTTTGTGAATAAACAGGATTTCAGTCTCCAGGACCTTACATGTTACAGCATAAGTATATAATTTCTCATTAAAAATATTGTTGGAAGCTGCCTTCAGATGACAGATTTTCATTATTCTCTCTCCTAGTTCAGACTTCACGGAAGAAAACACCAAACATTTCTTACATATCTGCTATTTAACCATTTGGACTGTAACATATTGCAATTTGATTCTATGACATTAATGAAGCGGTCAGGTGTCAGTTCTGCAAGGGTCCTAATGTCAGATACAATTAAGCACTTAATATACCTACCAATCTGAATAAACAGGAACTGAAGTTCAATGAGAAATCCTTTTGAAAAATAAAGGAGGGTGTTTGCTTCTTACTTTGCCCAGTAGGGTAGGATGAGCTGCAGTTTGTTGTTACAAAAGTGCTCTGAGACTTTACCTTTCTTGCTACAGAGCAGTGTTTTGAACCATCAGCTCCAGCCGATGATCCCTGTTCTATGTAACCAGGGGTGGGAGAGGCAGAGCTCCTACAAAGAGAGTCCTGGATGCTGAAGATCTCAGATTTTGTTCCAAAGTTTCACCTGGGAACACATGAAAATGTCAGAACCATAAATTGGCTTCTGCTCTTTATCACAGACATAGCATTGCCTTCCCCAGGTGCTTATTTTCTTCTGCCTTGCTCTAGCCACAAGCAACTGCTGCTGAACAGCAATGCTCACAGGCTTTTGAACTCCAAGGTAGCTCCATCATTCAAATTCTTCTGCAATCAGTAATGGGATGTACTGGTTGCTCACCCTAAGTTAGGGTTTAAATTCCATAAGACATGAAATGTTTTAGGTTTACACATGGCAAAGATTAAATTCTTTATTCAGAGGTAATGAGATGGTAGTTTGAAAGGAAGTACTTAATTATTATAAGTCAAATAATGAGAAAAGTCAATCTTAACTCCTTAGGAATTTGTCTAGAAATCCCCTAGCAATATGGAATTTCATTTTATTAGTGCAACCTATGGAAAAACTTGACTTCTTCATATCCATCAGACTTTAAGTCTTGTATTTTAAAGTTTCAGAGCATTATTTAGGTGATGAACATCCTACTAGAAGACATGATGCAATTTCAAGAAAAATATTTTTAATATTAAACGGGAGTCAATAATTTTTAATAGCAACAACCCAGCAGCCAAAAGAGTTCAGCACCTGCATCCTCCTGGGGAGCAATTTAAGTATTTGGGTTCTCACAATTAACAGGTGCTCATGAAGGTACTTAACTATGAAACATTAGTACCCAGCAGATTTTCATTACTCTCTTGAGTACCGATATTGCAGTGATACCATTTCAATGGGGGAAAAAAAAAAAAAAAAAAAAAAACCAAAAAAAAACCCAACAAACCAAAACAAACCTGAAAATTAGACCTAGCCTAAAAATTTCAGGTACAGTGCCAAATATGTTGCAAAATCCAGCCCTAGTCACGAGTAGGGCACAGCAGATGTTGAAGTGCTACTGTGGCAGAGGGTTAGTGCAGCTGGGACTGTTCTGGAACATCTGTAAGGCAAAATTCAGAAGATTATACTGATATGTCATCTAATGCAACTTAAAAATAAATAAATACATAAATAAATAACCTTTTAGGCTCCAAGCCCTTGCTTAGATCCTGAACAAAAGTACCTCTAGCTATTCTTGTGCATTTCTGTCCCAACACTCCTGCAGCAGTCATTTCATAACAAACCGCGCTGTCCTTTTTTTCTTTCAAAGAAGTATAAAGGAGAAAAACGCAACTATATTTAACTTCAGAACTGCCCACCAGCCATGCAAAAGCATAAGTAGGTATTTCAACTAGTAAACCACGTACCACTTCGCTGCTAGAGCAAGCTGGCAGGGGAGCGCTAACGCTCAGTACTGCGTGATGCTGCGGAGCGGGCAGCATCAGACAGGCACAGATCGCCCGTCCCGAATAAACGCTGCTCAGCCGCCCCTGCCCGGGGCGGGTCCGCAGGTGTGCGCAGCGGTGCCCGCCCGGTCCCGCACCGCGGGGAGAGCGCCCATCGCCGCACGGGGCCGCAGCGCGCCGCTCGCGTCCCGAACCGACGCCCCTAACATCGCCAAAAGTTTCATCCCCGCTTTCCCTCCCGACAGCCGCTCGCCGCTCCCGGAGCGCGGCCGCGGCGGGCCCTGCGGCAGGAGCGGGCGGCCCCCGCCCCGCACACCCTCCGGCGGCGGCAGGGGCGGGCAGGGCCGCTGCACCGCCGCCCCCCGGCGGGCACCGAGTCCCCTCCCCGCCATCGGGGAGCCGGCCGGGCTGGGGAAGGGGCTGGCCCGGCTCCCTCACAGCTCCAGCGGGCGGGGGTCGGGCGGCGCTGCCCGGCCCTCCGGAAAGTTTGGGCGGGCGGCGCGGAGCCCCGGCTCCCCTGCCAGCGGGCCGGGCAGCGCTGCCGGGCGGGCGGAGCGCGGTGCCCCGCGGTGCCGTCGCCGAGGGCCGGGGAGGCGGGCGGGTAGAAAGAGAGGCTTTTAAATGGCTTTGGGGAGCGGTACCGCCGAGGTGGGGTCGTGCCGGGAGGCTGCAGCGGCATTGCTTGTCGTGGCCGGAGTAGTGTACGTATTTTGGTTTGGGGGTTTTGGTGTTATTTTTCCCCGATTTGGCGTGCAGTGTTTCAGGGAGAGGAGCCGGGAGTGCTGTCGAACTCCTGGAGGATGTGGGTTAAATGAGCCTCGGCTGCGGAAACCCGAAGCGGCTCTATCTTGTCTTTCGAACACGGGCGAGGAAGAGGTGGTGTTGTGTGCTGGTTTGGGTAGTTCGGAAGGGAGGTAGTTTGTTTTTGCTCGCGTTAGTGTGTTTTAGTTGTCTATTACAGAAACGTGCTCGCTGGTAGGTATTTAAACAGAACCCAAACCAGCGTACTTCAGACTGAATAAGAGGTTAATGAAAATCATTGTGTATGCAGACGGTGACTAGCACTCAGCTGGGTAATTTCTATTCCGGACCCTGCTGGATTTTGGGGGGCTCCATTTAATTCATCGGGCGTCCGTCCTCTTCACACGTTGTCGTTTGAAAGTTAAAAATACCCCCCCCCCCCCCCAGCGCTCTGAGTTTTGCCT